CCCATGTTGCTCCCCAGCCTCCTCACTGTCTGACTCCACTGCCAGCTCCGCAGGCTGCTGGCGGACCACAACAAAACCACTTAAGTATATTTACAGGCAAAGCTGTTACACATCCTCCTCCTGCCAGGATTCTTTGCTCAACAAATACAGGTTTCCACTGCTAATCAAATAGAATTTGCTTTGCATTTATTCTTTCCAATCTGTTGGATGTTGGAAAGAATGAAGAAAAAGGGACCCAGGACCCCATCAGCAGGATAATTCTCAGAAAACCAAACAGAACGGCATAAAATGTGATGTGGAGGGAGAAACTGGCAAAAAAAAAAAAAAAACCCCACTCGGTTGAGTTAAAAATGGGCTGGAGCTGTGGAGGAAACACTGAGAGAAAAAAAATATCCAAGACATTCCTATGAGCCAATCATCTCCTGCAGGTCAAATGACAGCTGCACTCGTGTGTTTGAAACCCCTCCTGTTTTTAATACGCACCGACACACCTAAAAAGGAGTGAGACTTTGACCGTGAAGTTGCAGCTGCCACCTTGACTTTATTGACCCTTGGTGAAGGAGTCAAAGCCTTTGCAGGTTTTATGGTTCAGTGAGAGGGTTCCATCCATTGGCACATACGGTAAGTAAGGCTAAACTGCGGCCACCATATTTGAGCTGCCAAAATCCAGACAGCGATTAGTTGGCTAAAAAAAAAAAGCTACAGAAATCCCTCTTAGCAAACATCTAGAGCAGTGATGGGCTAACCTTTTCCAGACCGAGTGCCCAAAGCACGCACGTGCACCCAAACCCCCAAAATGCAATGGGTGCCCCGCCCCCTGCGCATGAGCATGCACTCCCCTGCATGTCCCCCACCCCATGCGCTTGCAGCCCCCCACATGCCCCTTGCCCCCTGCACTTGCCCCCTGCATGTGCCCCACCCCTGCGCATGTGTGCACACCCCTGCACATGCCCCACCCCCGCGCATGCACAGAAGAGGCTGGATGTCCAGCTGGCCGGTGGGCGGCACGCGTGCATACGTGGCGGAGTTGAACTGGGGCGATGGCTCGTGCCCACAGAGAGTGCGCTGGGTGCCACCTGTGGCACATGTGCCATAGGTTCGCCATCACGGATCTAGAGGTTGTGTAGTTTTTTGTAGTCTATGTGGTATTTCTTCATTTTTCTAATATTGTGCAAATATAATCCTCACTGAACTATTTCTCCTGGGTATTCTGGAAGGGAAAATGGAAAGAAATCTACAATATATCATATTACACATACTAATGGCGAGTAGAATTGTGATAGCACAAAATTGGAAACAACCAGATATCCCTCTGGACCAAATTATAATTAAAAAAAAAAAAGGAATGTGCAGAAATGGACAGATTATCGATGGAGATGAAGGAAAGGGAGTACTATTTAATATGGAATAAATGGTATTCCTGGCTGAGTAGACATAAAACTTAAGAGATACTTTTGTTATGCGATCGAATTGTAAGGTAATTTAAACAAAGATGTAAGTTTAAGATAGAGATATTTTGTGTAAAGAGGCTAAATAGGTTAGAGATACCGATGCAGAGAAATTGTTACTAGTATTGAAAATCTGATGTTTGGTTTTGTTCGTTTATATTTTTTGTGTGTTTCTTGTGTGTGTCTATTATGTTTTTTTTTGTACTGTGTATTTTAATTTTTGGAAATTTAATTTAAAAAAAAGAATAAGTGGCCATGAAAGCAATCCGTCTGTTTTCAGCCACTTTGTCCAAGGACAGGGAATACACAGGCTAGGGAGCAGGCAGGGTTTATTTTTCTCAGGAAAACAAGGAGAAAGCAGAATGCCAGCAAGTTCAGGGCTATAATTAGCACAGGCAATCATTTCTCTTTAGTATGATCATGTCTGAGTTTGCATTTTTTCCTTCTCCCTCCCAGTCTGTTTTCCTCTGATGTTGCATCTATAATACAGAATCACTGAAGCTAGAGATCAGGCCCTGACTTCATGTGGGAACCTTGTTCAGCTGAGCGGTAAACTCCAAAGGCTTTCTACAAAATAAGCAACTCCAAAACAATTCTCTCCAATCTTAAGCATCTTTCGATGCATACTATGTTCTTTTAGTGCGCTGAGTTGTTGGCTTTAGAAATGCACATTAGGTAAAATGTGAGGATTTGATCAGAGGTGGGTTTCAGCAGGTTCTGACCAGTTCTGGCGAACCTGTAGCGGAAATTTTGAATAGTTGAGTAGTAAAAATTCTAACTGGCCCTACCCCCCATCTATTCTCTGCCTCCCAAGTCCCAGCTAATTGGGAGGAAATGGGGATTTTTTTGCAGTAACTTTCCCCTGGAATGGAGTGGGAATGGAGATTTTGCAGTATCCTTCCCCTGCCACGCCCCCAAGCCATGCCATGCCATGCCACGCCCATCAAGCCACGCCCACAGAACCGGTAGTAAAAAAGTTTGAAAACCCACCACTGGATTCGATCCCTAGTCACAAGTTAGCTGTAGGAGCACAAATGGTGTTTTCATCTATACTTCCAACAAAAGGCCAACATCCAATGAGGGAGCAAAAGATTGTAGAAACAAACCAGTGGCTTAAAAACTGGTGTCGTCAAGAGAACTTTGGTTTAGTTTCCTAGACCATGGTCTGCATTACCTACATGAAAGGCTACTGGCAAGGGATAGAGTGAACCTCACAAGAACTTGGAAAGAATATATTCGGAAAACAACTGGCTCAAAGTTTTTTGGCAAGAATTTTGAAGTGATTTCCCTTGTCTCTTTCTTCTGAGGGGCTGAGAGAGTAGCCCATCACCCAACTGACTATGTCTCAGGCAGAACTAGAATTCACTCTCTCCCAGTATGTGGTACATTAACTACCACAGGTAGTTCTTGATTTATGGCCATTCATTTAAAAGCAGTGTTTCTCAACCTTGGAAGCTTGAAGATGGGTGGACTTCAACTCCCAGAATCCCCCAGCCAGCGTTGCTGGCTGGGGATTCTGGGAGTTGAAGTCCACCCATCTTCAAGCTTCCAAGGTTGAGAAACACTGATTTAAAGACTAACAAATTTTACACCACTGAAAAAAGCCATTTATGACTGGTCCTCGTACTTACAACAGTCTCCGCATTTCTGTGGTCATATGATCAAAATTTGAGCAACTGATTTTGTTTAGTGCAAATAAGTGAACCCAGCTAATGAAAATAATATGGTAATGAGCCAGAACAATTCTAGTGATAAAATGTCTTGCAGCTTCAATCTTCCCTAATTGTTGGTGATATTGGCTGGTGATGAGAGATGCAGACCAAAACAAGTGGAGAACCGGCAGCTCATTCTTGCTTCATTTCATGTTTTTCACTCCCATTCTCACCTCAGAGTGAAAGATTTAAAATTAAATATTATACAGATGGATGCTGACCTTTCACATATTTTTTTTTCTGAAGCAAGCATATAATTTCCTCAATGACAGACGTGCCGGTTCTTTGTAATAGAATGAAGACTGCATTCACCCCACAGCTTAACCAAATCATTTTTTTAAAAAATTGATTTATATGCCGCCCTTTTCCGGAGACTCAGGGCGGCTTACAATGCGTTAAGCAATAGCCTTCATACTTTTGTATTTTATACAAAGTCAGCTTATTGCCCCCACAATCTGGGTCCTCATTTTACCTACCTAAGAAAGGATGGAAGGCTGAGTCAACCTTGAGCCTGGTGAGATTTGAACTTGCAGTAATTGCAGGCAGCTGATGTTAATAACAGTGCTTTAGTCTGCTGCGCTACCAGGGCTCCTAATAAAAACACAGTGCCTCCATTCACACTTGGCTAGGTTTAACCTTAAAGTATGACGGGTTCAAGGGTTCATTTTAGTGGCTTGTATGTTGTATGAATGTGGGGCATTTATTTATAACCAAATGTACCATGACAAGGTACTCAAGGTGAGTTCATTTAGGGCCAACAGTGGTGGCTGCAAAGATCCAGCAGATAAAGGGTAGACAGCAGTCATGAGAAAATATCTGTTGGGCAGCTTAAGTTGGGAGGGAGGGGGAAGGAAGGCAACGGGGGAGGAAGGGAAAGAGATGGAAGGAGAGAAAAGGAAGGAAGGAAGAAAAAGAAAAAGGAAGGAAAGAAGGAGAGAGAAGGAAGGAAGAAAAAGAGAAGGGAGGAAAGAAGAAAGAAAAAGAGAAAGAAGGAAGGAAGGAAGAAAAAAGGGAGGGAGGGAGGGAGGAAAGAAGAAAGAAAAAGAAAAAAGGAAGGAAGGAAGGAAAAAGGGAGGGAGGGAGGGAGGAAAGAAAGAGCCTGGATAGCTCAGCAGACTAATGCATTGTAATTTAACTCCAGCTGTCTGCAATTAGTAAATTCGAATCTTGCCAGGCTCAAGGTTGACTCAACCTTCCATCCTTTCTAAGGTAGGTAAACTGAGGACCCAGTTTGTGGGGGCAATAAGCTGACTTTGTATAAATATATACAAAAGTATGAAGGCTATTGCTTAACGCACTGTAAGCTGCCCTGAGTCTCTGGAGAAGGGCGGCATATAAATCAAATTAAAAAAAAGAAGAAGAAAAAGAGAAAAAAGGAAGGAAGGTGAGAGAAGGAAGGAAGAAAAAGAAGGGAGGGAGGGAGGAAAGAAGAAAGAAAAAGAGAAAAAGGAAGGAAGGAGATGGAGAGGAAAGGAAGGAATTAAAAAAGGGAGGGAAGGAAGGAGGGAGGGAGGGAAGAAAGAAAGAAAAGAAAAAGAAAAAAGGAAGGAAGGAAGAAAAAAGGAAGGAAGAAGATGGTGAGGGAAGGAAGAAAAAGGAGGGAGGAAAAAAAGAAGAAAAAAGGAAGGAAGAAAAAGAAAAAGGAAGGAAGGAGATGGAGAGAGAAGGAAGGAATTAAAAAAGAGGAAGAAAAAGAAAGGAGGAGGGAAGAAAGAAAAGAAAAAAAAGGAAGGAAAAGAAAAAGAAAAAAGGAAGAAGATGGTAAGGGAAGGAAGAAAAAAAGAGGGAGGAGGGAGGGAGGAAAGAAAGAAGAAAAAAAGGAAGGAAGGAAGAAAAAGAGAAAAGGAAGGAAGGAGAGAAAGAGAGAGAAAGAAAAGAAAGAAAGAAAAGAAAAGGAAGTTTACTATCACGGGGGGGAGGAGGAGGAGAATCAAAAGTCAGCAACATCAGCTGCAATCCAGCGGTTCCTTCCGTCGTTCTCGGCTCTTCCCGCGAAGAGCTCCAACCTCTTCTCGGGCGGCTTAACGCTCAACTTTCCCGGAACTCCCGGGAATTCCGAAGGAGCGCCGGTTGGCAGGCAGGAGCTGGAAGCTCGGCTCTTCCCCTCCGCTGCCTCCCTCTTTGCGCAATCGGGGCGCCGTCGCTCGCCCTGCGGGCTGGCCCCGACAGGCAAGGCGGCGGAAAGACACCCAGCCTCCTGCCTTCGCCTTCGCCGCCGTTCCAGCTGGGCCTTTCCCCAGATTGCGCCAGCAGCTCGTGGGCGTTTTCCCGCTTGCCCGCCTGGCCTCCCGCCCCGCTTCGCCTCGAGGAGCGCCCAGGAAGGAGGCAAAACGCCCGACAGCAACAGCTGCCTAAAAACAACAACAACAAAAGTCGCTTCCTCGGCCCAAGGCGACCAGCCGGGCACTCGCCTTCCAACGCCCCCGCCCGGGCGGGGCTCGCCAAAGCCACGTGGGTCGCATCCTCCAAGTTTGCAAATAGCCTTTATTGATTATTGTTTTTTTCAGAGAGGGCGAAAGTTGCAGCCGGTTGCAAGGAGGGGAGAAAGTGGTGGCTGGCTTGGCTGGCTGGGACCTTGATCTGACGGCCCCCGGGGCGGCGATGGGTCCCTCGGATGGCTGAAGAGAAGCGTTCGGAGCCCGGGGCTGCCAGGCGCGGCGGCGGCGGGATGGAAGCGACCGACTCCAAGTTGGGCCGAGCCGGCAGCCTCTGGCAGGACACGCTGGCCATGGCGCTGACCCCCAGCAAGCCGCTCTCCCCGGCGGGCGGCCAGAGCTGCCGCGAAAGCGGCGGGAGGACCCGAGCCCTGCGCGTGGTTTACATCGTCACCGAGGACTTGGAAAAACCGCTGCCCTTCTTGTCCCTGCAGGAAGCCTGCAGGGAGGTCCCGGCCACGGAGCTCGCCACCGTCCCTTTCGGCACCCTCATGCTGGGAGACACGGACAGTCTGGACCGCTTCTACAACGCGGGTGAGGCTCCCCTTGCGCCGCGCTAACCCTGGCCCGGACCCTGCGCTGAGGTCTGCCGAGCGGGGCTTTGGGGTTGGTTTTTTTGTTTTTTAACCCTAACTGGGGGCCCCGCGCAACTCCCCCCCCCCAAAAAAGCCGCCCTCAGTCTTCGGAGAAGGGCGGCATATAAATCAAATTAAAAAAAAAAAAACCCATAAGCCAGGTTTTCCCTGTCCAAGAGTGTTGGAAGGGACCTTAGAGGTCATCTAGTCCAACCCCCTGCTCACGCCTATTGGTTCGACCCCCAAGGAGCCTGGATAGCTCTGCAGACAAGGCACTGCAATTTAACACCAGCTGTCTGCAATTAAAGTAAGTTCGAATCTGGCCAGGCTCAAGGTTGACTCAGCCTTCCATCCTTTCTAAGGTAGGTAAATTGAGGACCCAGTTTGTGGGGGCAATAAGATGACTTTTTATAAAATATACAAAAGTATGAAGGCTATTGCTTAACGCACTGTAAGGCCACCCTGAGTCTCCGGAGAAGGGCGGCATATAAATCAAATAAAAAAAAAAAAAATTGGAGACAGCAGGCTCGTAATTGTAATGGCTGGACTCCCACCAGCGGAGGTTTGAAGTTTGGATGCATCTTAGTGTTTATTTATTTCAGCAAGAACTGGTTGGGAGGGAGGGAGGGAGGTGTGTTAAAAACTGGGTTTACCTTAAGCCATAATGTGGCAGTCTTTGCTCTGAATGTTTTGTGTAAATCCGGCAAGCTGTGCAAACCTAAAAGGTTTGCATTTAACACCTGGTTAAAATACACGGGCTTAATCTATGGTGTAGATCTAGCCCAGAATGTTTCCTGCGATTTTCTTAACTTGTTGCAAGTTTGAATCTGTTCTTTTGAGGGTCAAACCATGCCTTTCTTTCTGAATATAGGAATCAAATTATACCTTAGTAAAGGTAAGGAAATCAATGCTACCTATTGATCTAGGAGAGGTCAGTCCCCCCCCTCTCTCAGCCCAACCTACCTCACAGGATTGTTGTTGTGGGGAAAGTAGGAGGAAGCGGTATCAAATATATGTTTTGCTGCCTTGTTATTTATATAAAAATAATAAAGGCGAGGAATTAATTAATTAATTAATTAATTAATTCTTATATAGACCGTGAGGTTTTTTTGCAGAAACTTTGCAGCTGCAGCAGTCTGTGGAAAATTTAATTATGTAGACCAGAAGAGAGAAAGGGTTTTTTTTTTTCCAGTTGCTTGAAAAAGCTTTCACGAATTTCAGTTTCTTAGAAACTCTTCGGCCTTAGATCGCGATTGCTGCAGTTTAAAAAAATATTATTAATTTTTTTTATTATTAAAGAGCCTTGGTGGCACAGCGGACTAAAGTACTGTTAAGTAGTACTTAGCTGCCAGCTGCCTGCAATTACTGCGAGTTCAAATCTCACCAGGCTCAAGGTTGACTCAGCCTTCCATCCTTCCGAGGTAGGTAAAATGAGGACCCGGATTGTGGGGGCAATAAGCTGGCTTTGTATAAAAAAGAACACCCCTTGGGGGGGAGGGGGTGTCGAAAGCCCTACTAAGCAGGTATATACAAAAGTATGAAGGCTGTTGCTTAACGCATTGTAAGCCGCCCTGAGTCTCTGGAGAAGGGCGGCATATAAATCGAACCAATAAATAAATAAATAAATTACTTTGAGCTAATGGGAAATTAATATACCAGTCCCTGAGCACATAAAGAATTAAATTTCATTAAATTTCACTTATTTGTTTCAAGATGTAATACTTGCCCCTCTTGTCAAACCAACTCTGGGCAGTGCACAGAATTTAAAATGGATTTGACAGCAGAAATAACTATAAGTGCAACATGTGATCACAAGGAAATAAAAAAAATAAACAAGTCAAGTCATTGTTTGGTTGTTCATATTGGAGGATATGTTATTCCAGAGCTTTGTTAATGAAATCTAAACTAATTATTCAGTAATCTAATAAAATAGAATTGAGTATTATGTAGAAAAGTTCCGCTGAATGCTTTTAGTGCATCTAATAATCCTATAGTTTTCTGAGTTCAGAGGCAAAAGAGCTATTTCTCAATGTCTATTACTTTATCATTTTAATCGGAAACGGCCGGAACTTAATCTTGGAACCGTCAACATGCAAAGCACATACTTTTTCACTGAGCGGGTGCCTCTCTGAATCCTTCTGTTTTTAGCAGATGCAGAAAAATATGGAGCACTGTTAGAGAGGGCAGTTTTTCTAAAGCCAGTTCTATCTCTAAAGCCATTTGCTATCTCTCTTTCCCATATAAGGTTCTAATCTGCTCTGGATGATCCTGATGGTTATTTTGCTAGCAGATAAAATTAAGGATATTGTGCGGTATTTGCAAACACTGATAAATCATCTTCTTTTTGGGGAATCGGTATATAGACTGACCGCTTCCAATCTGTTGTTCATTGTGTCACTCTCCAGATTTTGTTGCCCTTGTTTGGTTAGACAAGAGGTTCTCCTGCTTCATTTCTATTTCCTAGCCTGGTGTTTTTCAAACTTGGCGATTTTAAGACTCCCAGAATTCCCCAGCCAATATGCATTGAAGTCCACACATCTTAAAGTTGCCAAGATTGAGAATAGCACTAGCAATAAGCAGTTAGACTTATATACCGCTTCACAGTGCTTTTACAGCCCTCTCTAAGCGGTTTACAGAGTCAGCATATTGCCCCCAACAATCTGGGTCCTCATTTTTACTGACCTTGGAAGGATGGAAGGCTGAGTCAACCATGAGAAACACTGATATGTATGTATGTATGTATGTATGTATGTATGTATGTATGTATGTAATTTATATGCCGCCCTTCTCCCGAAGGACTCAGGGCGGCTTACAAAGAAAACATTCAACAATTCGAAAATTACATAAAAATTAAAATCAATTAAAATTAATTAAAATTATTTCAATGTAAAAATCCCCCAACGGATCAGCCCATTTGATAAAAGAGCCATGTCTTCAGTTCACGGCAGAAGGAGAGGAGGTCGGGGGCTGTCCTAAGCCCGGTGGGCAAACTGTTTCAGAGGGTCAGCATTCCCCCAGAGAATGCTCTCCCCCTGGGGGCCACCAGTCGACATTGTCTGGCTGACGGCACCCTGAGGAGGCCCGCTCTGTGGGCGCGCCAACCCTCTGGAACCCTCTATATGGCATATATACCATCGGGAAGGAGATATAGAAGTATAGCCGGCCGTAACAAACAGGCTGAAGAACAGTTTTTATCTGTGGGCTGTCAGACTCACAAATGAAAAATAACATAATAATATGTAGTATGATGGACTGCAGGGCCGGCGCAATGTGTAACATGTTCACACTGATGCAATAGGACTGGGTGTTTTGTTAATATGAATTATTGGGTTAGGGATTTTCTGTCTTCACTGTGAGTTGTATTGTGTTGGGGGGGTGTGCACCGAAGGAGCTCAACCAATCTTATTGCACATATGTTGTGCACTGACATTAAAGATTTGAATTGTATAGTGTAGAAGTGTTTTACCATTGCTTTCTCCCATAAAGTATTAAATTATACCTTAATTATACCTTTTTACTGTCACTAACTTGATCATTCGCCTCCATCAGATTCCTAAATAGGCATCTACTTTACCTGGGTGGCTGGGATAACTTTTCACCTTGGGTCTCTCTGCTGTGGGCATATACTTTTGTTGTGTGTTTGTGGCTTTGAGTCAGGGTTTGTTTTTCTTTATTTGACTCATCTGCCTGAACAAGTCCCTGCGGTTTTCTTGGCAAGATTTCACAAGTAGTTTGTCCTTTTTTAAAAAAAAAAAAAAATCTAAGAAAGAGTGACTTGGCCCCATTGTTTGTAGAGATTCTCAGTCATCCAGGTTGTAGTTTGTTTGTTTGTTTATTTGTCAACAGGTACAAGGAAACAAGTAACAGTATAGACATAGTCATGGACACATGAAAAAAAATTGGCACAAATAAAAGGATGTAAATAGGCAAAACATAGCCATAAACACATAGAATGAGTACATATAAATGGGGACAGTAGGACAGGGACGGTAGGCACGCTGGTGCGCTTATGCACGCCCCCTTTACGGACCTCTTAAGAAACGCGAAAGGTCCACGGTAGACAGTTTAAGGTAAAAGGTATGGGGATTAGCGAGACTAACAACAGGATCAGGTAGAGTGTGCCAGACATTTACTACTCTATTGCAGAAGTCATCTTTCCTACAATCAAGATTAGAGCGAATGACATTGAGTTTGAATCTATTGATAGCTCTTATGTTATTGCGGTTGAAATTAGTTGTCTCAAAGGTGCTTTTTTTTTCTCTTCAAAAGGCAACCGGGCTGTCTTTTTTTTTTTCCCTTGAGGAGGAAGAGGAAGAAAACGTTTTGCTTCTCATCCAAGAAGCTTCATCAGTTCTGATGGCATTGGTGGCAGGGGGGAATGGAAGGATAGGTACTGACAGTTGAGGTGGATGGAGGGTGGGAGTGGAAGGATAGGTTCTGCAAAGACATATAATCTTTCCATCTCCCCCACCATCCTATCACTATCCATCCTTCCATTCCCCCCACCCCCCTATTCCTCCCACCCCAATCAGATACATCTTCCTCCTCCTGAAGGAAAAAACAATCCAGTAGCTTTTAAGAATAGAATTCTTTATTGACTAAGTATGATTGGACACACTATTTATTTATTTATTTATTTATTCATTCATTCATTCATTCATTCATTGGCCAAGTGTGATTGGACACACAAGGAATTTGTCTTTGGTATATATGCTCTCAGTGTACATAAGGAGAATAAAATACATTCATCAAGAATAAAAAGATACACTTAGTGATAGTCAAGGTTACTAATCGTACTGGGAAACAAATAAAAACAATATAATTTGAAAGATACAAGCATCATGGTTATAGTCATAAGTGGGAAGAGATAGATACTAGTAAGGAAGAGAAGAATAATAGCAATACAGTCTTAGTAAATTATTTGACAGTGTTGTGGAAATTAGTTGTTAAGCAGAGTGA